AGTGATCCCTGAACACTGAGTAGCTAGGAGTAATCCCTGGTTTGTCTCAGCCTTTTAAAAAAATTTTTTTTTAAGAAGGCACAATTTACAAATTTATTCACAGTTGAGTTTCAGGACAGTCTCGTCAGCAGTGTCAACTTCCCTTTACCAGTGACCCCAAGTTTTCCTTCCCCTGACCAACATGCTTAGACACACTTGCCCAGACCGGAACTAATGTTTTCCTCCTTCCTTTATTTCTTTTACTGAACTTTTATTACTGTGCTATCAACCTCCTGGGCACACTCTTGAACTCCTACATGAATTTAAAACAATAAAAAATAAAGGTTTGGGGAGAGAGCTCAAAGACTGGAGTGCATGTTTAGTCTGCGGGAGTTCCCGGTTCAATTCCTGAGTCTGCATACCCCCACCCCCAACTTTGCTGTTGTGGTCCAAAATAATTATGTAAATAAAAACATCTTTAGAAAATAGCTTCCATGCACTCTTTTTCACTTGGCAGAAAGGAATGCTAAGGGCTTATTCTCTTTATATTACCTCTTTTAATCTGATTGTGTAGGGATCATTAGTCCCATTATATCATGAAAAACGAAAGTTCAGAGCACTAATGTCTTACCCAAGGTCACCCAACTCAGGAGTGAAAGTTGAACCTCAATCTATTTGATCCTGAGGGCTGGGCTTTGAAAGACTGAGTATGTTGCCACGAAAATAAGTCACTCGATTTTCAATCTCTATCACATGAGGCCCTTGGGTGGACACTTGAAATACAAACCTCTTACTCAGGATGTGGCTGTGTGTACAGCGATGTTAGAAACAGCACATAAATTCTAAAATATAGAGAAGGACTTTCTTTACTGGAGCTCATTTGAACAGCTAACTTTAAATTTCTATTTTTCAGGCCTTCCTTAATTTTTTTTTCGCAACCCCTGCCCCCATTTACACTGTAGTTCTGGATGAGATGCAAGGTCAGGACTGGAATTAAGGCTGAACCTCTGATCATTGTTTATCAGGTCACATATGGAAACAAGATATTGTCCCCTTCACCCTTTGGCCCATGGACAACTTCTGTCTCCCCACCCTCCAAGTATGAAAGACTAATTTCTTAATCATTGAAAGGTGAGGAAGCTTCTCTTTGAAGGTTTGCTTTTGTTTGTCTTAAATTCCTACAGTTTTGGAATTTAAAAGATTTAAAGACTTCTCCCAGCTTTGCCCTTCTTATGAGTAAGGGGGAAAGAATGAAATGCTGGAAGAAATATAAGATTTAGTTTAGCTTGAGGGCCACAACTGGCAGTACTCAGGACTTACTCTTGACTCTGCACTCAGGGACCACTCCTGGCGAGCTTGGGGTACCATATGGGAACCAGGTTGGCCACATGCAAGGCAAGTGCCTTACCCACTGTACTAAGTTCGATCCCCCCCCCCACATACACACATACACACAAAATAATATTAAATGACTGTCTCCAGATACTATCTCTGACTCATGTTACTCAAATTAATCATGAATAGTCAGGACTGAGTACTGTTAAATAACATTTTGCAGTTAGTAGAAAATGGGCAAAAGACCTGCAAACTCTACAAACCTCATACTCTCCCCTCTGCCCACCCAGAAATTAGCCAACCAGGAGGAAAAATGTAGGTGTGTGCACTCAAACCTCCACAAGAAGATGATGGGTGGGTAGGCATATCTGGGCACAGGCAAGCAGGCATCCCTCTGCCAGCTATGTCCAGTACTGCCCCCCAGAACTGGAATGGACATGGGTGAAGACACAGTAACTTGTGGTGTAGAAGGAAGGATCGACAAGGACATGTATTGTTGGCTGTGAGTGTTTTTTTTTTGCAATAACCATTTTCACTGCAAACATTTTCATCTCTTAACTGTAAAGCAATTTTGCTATATGATAAAGCACCCCCTCCCCCACCCACACATACACATGCATGCACGCAGGAACCCATACATGCACACAAAGAGGGACCAACCAAAAAGGACATGATTAAGCACTTTCTCTTTGTTGAAAAAAATGTCCTCCCTTTCTAAAAGAGGTATCAGTTTAGGGGCCAGACATATAGTATAGGAGTTTAGGTGCTTGCCTTGAACAAAGTCGACCCTCTGGTTCAATCCCCAGCACCATAAATGGTTCCCTGAACCTTGAGCAAGCCCAGAACACACAAGGGTGTGGCCCAAAAACAAAAGCACAAAGGGGAGAGACATGCGGTAGTGGGGAGGAGAGGGAGGAGCGGGGGTTCAAATACTAGAATGCATGTTTATAACTGAGCTCTGTGCTACATTTTGAAAGGCTTTGACTCTGACATATGAAGGGCACTTCCATTTCTTGTCACCATATGTCTTGTAACTGGTCTTTTTGTAAGTCCTACATATCTGCATTAAATGTTCCATCACACATACCCAGTCTTTATATCTCGCCAAATCATCCAAGCTAGATTCTGTGCAAAATTCAAAAATTTTGTCTACATTATATTCTCCACTAACAGACAGCAAAACATAGTCATGATTTGAAGAAACTGGTGCTCATCAAATCATGTCACTGTCACTGTCACTGTCCTCCCGTTGTTCATGGATTTGCTCAAGTGGGCCTAGTAACATTGTGAGACTTGTTGTTACTGTGTTTGGCATATCAAATACATCATGGATAGTTTGCCAAGCTTTGCTGTGTGGGTGAGATACTCTCAATAGCTTGCCAGGATCTCCGAGAGGGGCAGAGGAATCGAAGGCGGAGGAATCAAACTCGGGTCGGCCAGGTCTGCCTCATGTAAGGCAAATGCCCTACCCGCTGTGCTATCACTCCAGCCCATCAAATCATGTAGTTATTTCTTTCTGGAGGGGAATTGAAAGATCTTGGCTATACTTTTGCCTCTAACTTCTAATAATTATAAATAATATTCTTTTAACCAAAGGTAAAGACAATTAGAAATCAAGGTGCCATGCAGTTGCTGGTGACATGAGAAATGGGAATAAGGGAGGTAGAAGCCTCAAGAGAGGATCTACTACTTTCCTCTTTACCCACCTCAAGCCCCAGGAAAGTGCCTAAGAAGGTCAGGACTGAGAAAGTTCACCACAAGCACCAAATAAGCACAGGTTCTTATGTCCCATTAGTTCTATTCAATAATCATCAGATTGCTCCCGAGTCCCACGTGATCTATGCAGCATGGAAATTTAATCCCCATCACCCAATTTCCAGGGGACCCATGAATGTAGGCTAGTGGTTGGAAGTTATCTTTGCAAGTAAAAGAAAATCAGTCCTAATCTCACCCAGGTTCCTTACAGAACCCCATAAAGGAAAAAGAAGGAATTACACATTCCAAGTTGTGATTTTGGTGCCCCCAGAATGAGGAACAAACTCACTACTTGCCTTTATAAAATTAATATTATAGATTTTCTTTCAAACTCCTCCAACTTGGGCTTATGTAGATAAGAGTATCGCAAGGGCATTGTCAAGGGGAAGAATTTGGACATTTCAGTGGTTCACCTTCATGTTCTTATCTCTGTCTTTTGTGCCTGCCTGCTGGAGCTTCTCCTTTCCGGACAAGGTTCAGCCATCTCTGGGCTAGTGCTGGTGCCAGCTATAAACTGACTGACCTCAGTTCTGTGTCCACAAACTGTTTATCATTGTTTTGACTATGTTATGGCTAGTGATAGAGTAACTTCTTTAAGTCTTCATTTAACTTCTTTATAGTAATTTTTTTTAATGTTATTACTTCTCGAGAACTTATTCCCACTGCAGTCCATTCCTACTTGATCGACTATATATTCTCGCTCACTTATTCCTAGTTTTCAAACCAGAATCACATTTCTAAAATAGAATACAGACTATTTCATTCTACTAGTCAGAATTTGTAGCCAAATTTCAGTCTATAATCTAAAATTCTTATATTGGTGTGCCCTGCTCAATGCACTCCACCCCCACCCCAGCCCCAATTTTTCCAGAACATACTAGGTTTGCCCTAGCTTTGCACAATGCAGAGACTTTACACTGGTTGGCTGGAAGTTCTGGTTGCTTGAAGCTTTCCTGCCTGAAATATCCATAGGGACAATTCCCTCAAAGCTTTGCTCAAAGGTCAGTGTCCTAACAAGGCTCAACCTGATCACTCTATGTAAAATCACTCCCTCTTCTTATGATCTTAACCTGGCAACATTTGTCCTTTACATTCTCCTAACCCGGCAACATTTGTCCTTTACATTCTTCTCTCATTACATTCTCCTAATCTATACAAATCTCTTATTTAATAAATTCTATTCTCTGATCCTTCACAGTCCCAATGACACATAAATACCAGAAACACATGAATCTTGGTCTATTTTGTTGACTTGTATCTTCCAAGGTCCAAGAAGGAGAAGGATAGGGAGGAAGAGGAGGAGGAGGAGGAGGAGGAGGAGGACGAGGAGGAGGACGAGGAGGAGGAGGAGGAAGAGGAGGAGGAGGAGGAAGAGGAGGAGGACGGAGAGGAAGAAGAGGGAGGAGGAGGAGGGGAGGAGGAAGAGGGGGAGGAGGAGGAGGAAGAGTAGAAGGAAGAGGAGGAGAAGGGGAAGAGAAAAGGGAGAAGGAGGAGGAGAGTTGAACAAATAAAAAAGGTTTAAATAAAACTACAAACGCCAGGAAAATTGCAAGATACATACTCTGTGGCATTTCTCTATCATGATTTTGCTGGATGAATTTAACTCCCAGTCTTCCACACTGATAGAGCATTAATAAACTCAGAGGAAAGTGCGTGTTGACTCTTGGATCAGCTCTCACCAGGGACTCCAACAAAGGTTCCATCAGCTTCTTAGACTGAGGTTAGAGGTTTCCTGGCCCTCTTGGCTGCTGCAGAAACCTCACCCCACCCCACTTTGACCACAGGCATCAGTAGCTTTGCTGAACTCAACAGAAAACCTACCCTCTCAACTCTGCAAGCGGAGCTTTACTCTTTCTCTGTGGGCTTCAGGAGCCATTGGAAATACCCCTGTCCTTTGCAGGACAGCCAGAAGAATCTTAGGCAATTATGGGACAGTCACCTACCCTGACCTTTGCCAGCATTTCCAAACACAACAAATTTGCTTCAAATTGAGTTATTTGGAACTGTGACTTTTGCTCAACAAGGTAAGACTGCATAATGAGATATTTTATTTTAATTAAGAGGCAAGATTTTTAAAAAAACTATTTGGGGAGGTGGGGGTAGCAAGGAACATATCTGAACACTAAATATTTGAAAGGTTAATCATTAATAGGTACTCTTCCCTAACAAAGTATTCCTCCCTTCAGAAATTAGCAAGAAGACCTTGGAGCCTGGGCAAGCAGGAGAAATGAGAAGCCCTTGGAGCATCTCTGCTTTTTTGGTTTTGTGCCTCTGGATCCAATCGAGTGCCTATGGACAAAGCCCAAGACCAGGTAAGAGCCTACCTTCTCTGAAGATGGGCAATGATTGTCTTTCTTAAGCGTTGGTCACAAAGAATCCAATTGTTCTTGAATCTGGGACAGAGTTGACTTCCCAGTCAACCAGGTGATTCTGCAGCGGCACCAGGAGACCCAGGGGTACAGAGCAGCCTGTGAGCAAAACTGAAATATTAGGAGTCACTCAGGGATAGAAGTTCTCTGAAAGCAAGAGAACTTCTGAATCTGAAGTGATTCACAGATCTGATTTAGAAAGAGTCATGCTAGACCTCTTCAGTGGAGGAGTCACTGAAAGCGTTTTCGATCTTATTGAGTTAACTCAGCCTCTAATCTGCTATAGGGGAATAGTGCTCTCAATGAAATGCTTTGTCTTGCTGAACTTCTCGAGTTGCCAGGCTCTCTCGGTTGAGAGAGGAATTGGTAGTCTTATTTTTCAGTCAGGTTTAAAGAAGACATCATGGCACAGATTTGAGGCTTCTTTTTCCTGCCAGCTTTACCCTGAGGCTAAAAAACTTGGCAGCCCATTTGGTCTGTAAATTCCTAAACTAGGCGGATGGTCAAATTCATTTAATGCACATCCAGTAGGTGCATTCCAAGTTCTCTGGCTAAATCCTGCGTCAAATCAATAATGACGGGCATGAAGTGATCCAAACTGTTTGACCAGTTTGAACATTTGGGACTTTGTTTTTGTGCTGGTTATCTGTCTGTCAGACACTAGTAAGTCTAAGGTAGAGGCTCAGATTGTCTTTTTTCTAAGACTAGGGCTTAGTGGGAGTTCAAGTCCCCTGAAGAATCAGGAATTTACTACGCAGGAATAGACTTGGAAATTTCACAGCATTTTTCTCCCATTTTCATAAAATTGTTGTTGCTTTGTATTTAGTGGTCTGGCATCCTGAGTTGGTCCATAGCTTATTGAATATTAGGCATTACCGCTCATGGAGCATCTGTATGCCATGCACTGTGCTGATTGTCTTGCATATGCTATGTTATCTATAAAGCTATGTCCAAAAACAACTTAACAATTTAGAACTAAAGAGAAAAATGACTGATGATTTTTTCACTCCCTGCTTTCATGAGGATTTTGCTGCTTCTTTGGCATAGAATGCTGCTTTTGTCTGTGATATATATATATATATATATATATATATATATATATTAAATGTCTGATAAATGCTTTTTGCTTGCCAGCATCCCAGGATAACTTTCCCTGTGTACCTAGAGTCTTAATATAGGTTATTTTCCCTTAGGGATTTTTTTACTCATGGAAACATACCATAAAAGTTCTTTTGCCTTCTTTGGTTCAAAACTATGTTGGTGAGACTCATCCCAGGGCTGCAGTGATGGTAATAGTAAGATGAGTTCACCGTATGCTCCATTATGTGGTTTTTCCCACTCTGCCTCAGTCATTCTGCATTTGAGGAGCTCAGATGGAACATGTTCATGGAAACTCGGAGGTTGAAAGTAATGGGTACCATGGCTGAGGTTGAAAAGTGTGAGGACCTTCCTCAGGTAACTGGGAGATTGTCTAGATTTTATCTCAACAAACCTCATACTGGTTAGCTGTCACTTCCCGAGGGTACTGGATTTGTTCAAAAGCCAAAGGAAACAGCCACGATGTGTGAACAGTTCCTCTGGGAAGTATCAGAAGCCATGACAGTGGTGTCCAGCGGGTCTGGTTGGCTGCATATGGACACTTTGTCAGTTGTCATCACCAGAAAGACTGCTATTGGCATATGGAGTTTGGAAGCTGGGGTACTACTAAAATATCTTGCAAGTACAGGATTCCTTCCCATAAGAAATTGTCCAAGGCAAATGGCAAGCATTTGAACTCTGAGAGTTCATGCTCCGTGGCAAGCTTCAACTAGTCAAGGGCCAGGAAGAACTTCCTCGAAGTTATTTCCTCAAAATCTTGACCTACTCCTGCTCCAAGACTATAGATGTCATTTTGTAAAGTTCCCACTCATGCATCAACGTACTCCTCTGCATGCTTTTACTCATCTGCTCACACTTTACCTTGTAATTTGGGGGAACCAACTTCAGCAGCTTTCCCGAGGTCACCTTTGTTCAGGACAGAGCAAGGAGCATGACCTAAAGCTCAGTTTGTCCCACCAACATTGCAGCTCTCTCTCTCTCTCTCTCTCTTTCTCTCTCTCTCTCTCTCTCTCTCTCTCTGGATTTGACAGACATTGGTCCTCCCAAAACTGTTCTGCTCTTTTTCTTTTATCAGAAAGCAAGTTTGGGGCACATCCCCCCACCTTCAACAGCAAGGGAAATAGAGTATGGAGTAGAGGAGTCTCCTGAACCCCCAAAACACAGAACCCCCTGAACCCCCAATCCTATGTTATCCCATATGCTGAAGTGAAGGCCCACCCTTTCGGCTCTGCAAAGAAGTCAATGCTGCTTTCCATGATGATACTACTTCAGATCCAGGAGGCAGGTCCTGGGCCTACCAACCCTACTGACAGCAGCCTGATCCTCCCATCCCAGACATAGCTTCCCTTTCCTAGAAGCATCTGGAGTTCATGCAGCCATTCATCCATTTAGTATGGGTGAGCATACACCCATCGCGGACAAGTGGGGCATTAGTTACTGGCTCTCAAACTTTCTAGAATCAGGAAAGACACCACTGAGGTCATTACAAGATGATTTAAAAGAAGAGGTATTATATAGAGGTAATTTGCCTGCCTTGCATGCAGCCAGAGGCATTTCCATCATCAGAATAGATAGGAGTAGGAGTAAGCCCTGAGCACTACCAGGTGTGATGCCAACCCCATATACACAAAAAAAAATTTTTTAAGATGATTTGGGCCCAAAGAACTCTTTTTTTTTTGAAGGGTGAGGGGTATTTGGGCCAATTCTGGCTCTGTACTCAGGGATCACTTCTGCTTATGCTTGAGGGACAGTACTATACAGTGCCAGGATCAAACTGTTGTTAGCTGCATGCAAGGCAAGAAAGAGCCTTAACCCTGTTCTCTCTCTCTCTCTCTCTCTCTCTCTCTCTCTCTCTCTCTCTCTCTCTCTCTCTCTCCATCCCAAAGAACTCACCTCCATGAGTACAGCTCCTAATAATTGCCATCACTATCACTGTATCACTGTCATCCCATTGTTCATCGATTTCCTCAAGCAGGCACCAGTAACGTCTCCATTCATCCTAGCCCTGAGATTGTAGCAAGTGCTACAATGGAGGCTTTCAAGGTCAGGGGAATGAGACCCATTATTATTACTGGGTTTTGGCATACCTAATATATCACAGGGAGCTTGCCAGACTCTTCTGTGCGGGCAGAATACTCTCGGTAGCCTGCCAGGTTCTCCAAGAGCAAGAACTAGAGGTCTTCTGGGAACTTGGTTTTCTAGTCTCTGGGTCTTGGCCATTGATGGGATTACACAGTGCCAGGGGAAGTTGGTGGGTGTAACTGCCTAGCTACTGGAAGATGGGGGATCTGGGTGGAGGAGGCCCAGTTCCGATCCGAGCAGGCTTGGAAGAATGCCCATATTGTTTTCCAAAATGACTGAACCAATCTGCATTCCCATCAACAATGAATGAGAGTCCCTTTCTCCCCACATCCGCACCAGCACTGTTTGTTCTTGTTCTTTATGATGTGTGCCAGTTTCTGTAGTGTAAGATGATATCTAACTGTTGTTTTGATTTGCATCTCCCTGATAATTAGCGATGAAAGTGTTTTCTCATGTGCCTTTTGGCCATTTGTATTTTTTTTTTTGAGGAAATTGCTGTTCATTTCTTCTTCCCATTTTTTTATGGGGTTGGAGGTTTTTTTCTTATAAAGTTTTACCAGTGTCTTATATATCCTGGATATTAATCCCCTATCTGATGGGTATTGGGCAAATAATTTTTCCCACTTCGTGGACTCTCTCTGTATTTTGGTCACTGTTTCTTTTGAGGTGCAGAAGTTTCTCAGTTTAATGTAGTTCCATTTGTTTACCTCTGTTTCCACTTGCTTGGTCAGTGGTGTTTCATCCTTAAGCATGCCTTTAGTTTCAATGTCATGGATGTTTTTAATAATACAGACTTTTCAAACACCCATCTGCAAAGAAATTCTGTGACTTCCCCAGGTTGATTAATTATAAGGTAGTTGCATTCTTTTATCTGTTTCCATAATCAACTTGTTGTGATATCTTGCATTATTAGAAATTACCCAAAGGAAACTTAGCCTAGTGCATGGTTTCTAATAGAGAATGAGATCTGGAGATGTGGTGGTGAAATTTTCTCAGCAAGAATATGGAAAGTAATGATGAGATCGGCAGTGTTCAGGATGGTATGGTTGTAGATATCCACCTGGAAAGTGATATGTATAGGATGGTGCAATGTATTACCTAACTGGGAAGGAGTTAGAAGGAGGACACTTTGGGAGGTGGGAAGTCATAAGGGAAGAAAGAATCTTTATAAGTGACTTGGTGCTGTTTAAAAGGTACCCCAGAAATGTAAACAGAATGATCTCTCTTATATGTGGAACTTAAAGATACACAGCAAGGTGACAACAAAGGGCCAAAGGCAACACAGCAGGAGAACTTATCCACACAACTGAGTTGGTGTGTGAGTGGTGGGGTGGAGGTTGGGGGTGTAGGGGGTGGCAGGGAGAGTGGAATTTGAAAGGAAGGGTCATTGGGGCTTTTGGGAGGAGGTGGGTACACTAGAGTGATGGGTGTGGTGTTGGAATTCTGAGTATGGAAAACCACCATTAACAGTATTGTGCATCACTGAACCTCAATTAATTAAATAAATTGATTAAATATATAAAGTTAATAAATAGGGGGTGGAGTGATAGTACAGCGGAATCACTGGCATCCCTGAGCACCATCAGGAGTAATTCTTGAGTACAGAGTCAGGAGTAACCCCTGAGCATCTCTGGGTGTGGCCCCAAAACAAACCAAAACAATCTTTATATATATATATGTATACACTAAGTGAGATATATATATATATATATATATATATATATATATTGAATCACTATGGGAAAAGTTACAAAGCTTTCAGA